CAGTGTTGTTTTTTTTTGTTTATTTGCTACCTTGCAATTTGTCTCAGACTGGATATTTGTTTTAGGGAAATACAATCTAGATGGAACTACTAAAAAGGGTGCATAATTGGTTGGAAAACCATTCCCAGAGAGTAGTTATCAGTGGTTCACACTCAAGCTGGAAGAGCATATTGAGTGGGGTCCCGCAGGGATCAGTTCTGGGTCTGGTTCTGTTCAATATCTTCATCAATCATTTAGATAATGGCATAGAGAGGACAATTATAAAGTTTGCAGATGATACAAAGCTGGGAGGGGTTGCAAGTGCTTTGGAGGATAGGATTAAAATTAGGGCTGGCAAGCGATTAAGAAAATAATTGTGATTAGTCGCACTGTTAAACTTGTAATAGAATACCATTTATTTAAATATTTGTGGGTGATTTCTACATTTTAAAATATATTGATTTCAATTACAACACACAATACAAAGTCAACAGTGCGCACTTTATATTTATTTTTGATTACAAGTATTTGCACTGTAAAAAACAAAAGTAATACTATTTTTCAATTCACCTAATACAAGTATTGTAATGCAATCTCTTTATCATGAAAGTTTAACTTACAAATGTAGAATATGTAAAAAACTTGCATTAAAAAATAAAACAATGTAAAACTTTAGAGCCTATAAGTCCACTGACTGGTCAGCGAATCACTCAGACAAACAAGGTTGGTTACAATTTGCAGGAGATAATGTTGCCCACTTCTTGTTTACAATGTCATCTGAAAGTGAGAACAGGCGTTCGCATGGCACTGTTGTAGCCAGCATTGCAAGATATTTACGTGCCAGATGCGCTAAAATTCATCTGTCCCGTCATGCTTCAATCATCATTCCAGAGGACATGCATCCATGCGGATGATGGGTTCTGCTCAATAACGATCCAAGCAGTACAGACCAACCCATGTTCACTTTCATCAGCTGAGTCACATGCCACCAGCGGAAGGTTGATTTTTTTTCCCGGTGGTTCAGGTTCTGTAGTTTCTGCATCAGTGTGTTGCTCTTTTAAGATTTCTGAAAGCATGCTCCACACCTCGTCCCTCAGATTTTGGAAGGCACTTCAGATTCTTAAACCTTGGGTCAAGTGCTGTAGCTATCTTTAGAAATCTCACACTGTACCTTCTTTGCATTTTGTCAAATCTGCAGTGAGAGTGTTCTTAAAACGAACAACATGTGGTGGGTCATCATCTGAGACTGCTATAACATGAAATACATGGCAAAATGCAGGTAAAACAGAGTAGGAGACATACAATTCTCCCCCCAAGGAGTTCAGTCAAAATTTAATTAACTTTTTTTTTAATGAGCATCATCAGCATGTCCTCTGGAATGGTGGCCGAAGCATGAAAGGGCATATGAATGTTTAGCATATCTGGCACGTAAATACCTTGCAATGCCGGCTACAAAGTGCCATGCGAATACCTGTTCTCAATTTCAGGTGACATTATAAATAAGCCGGCATTATCTCCCGTAAATGTAAACAAACTTGTTTGTCTTAATGATTGGCAGAAGAAGTAGGACTGAGTGGACATGTAGGGTCTAAAGTTTTACATTGTTTTGTTTTTGAGTGCAGTTATGTAACAAAAAAACCATGTAACTTGCACTTTCATGATAAAGAGATTGCACTACAGTACTTGTATGAGGTGAATTGAAAACTACTATTTCTTTTGTTCATTTTTACAGTGCAAATATTTGTAATAAAAATATAATACAACACTTTGTATTCTGTGTTGTAATTGAAATCAATATATTGAAATCAATATATTTGAAAATTTAGAAAAACATCCAAAATATTTAATAAAATAGAATATTAATTGAAATTAACAGTGTGATTAAAACTGTGATTAATTTTTTTAATCGCGATTAATTTTTATTTAGTTCATCGCATGAGTTAAATGCGATTAATCAACAGCCCTAATTAAAATTCAAAATTATCTGGACAAATTGGAGAAATGGCATGACATTTAATGACAAATGCAAAGTACTCCACTTAGGAAGGAACAATAAGTTGCATAAATACAAAATGGGAAGTGACTGCTCAGGAAGGAGTACTGCGGAAAAGGGATCTGGAGGACATAGTGGATCACAAGCTAAATATGAGTTAACAGTGTAACACTCTTGCAAAAAAATATATATTAAAAAATTATAAGCAAACATCCTTCTGGGATGTATTAGCAGGAGTGTTATAAGCAACACACAAGAATTCTTCCGCTCTGCTCAGCGCTGATTAGGCTTCAACTGGAGTATTCTGTCCAGTTCTGGGCGCCTGTTTCAGGGAAAATGTGGACAAACTGAAGAAAGTCCAGAAAAGAGCAACAAAAATGATTGAAGATCTAGAAAACATGACCTATGAGGGAAGATTGAAAAAATTAGGTTTGTTCAGTCTGGAGAAGACAGAGGGAACCTGATAAGTTTTCAAGTACATAAAAGGTTGTTATAAGGAGGGAGAAAAATTGTTCTCAATCTCTGAGGATAGGACAAGAAGCAATGGGCTTAAATTGCAGCCAGGGTGGTTTAGGTTAGACATTAGGAAAAACTTCCTGTCAAGGTAGTTAAGTACTGTAATACATTTCCTAGGGAGGTGGTGGAATCTCCATCACTGGAAGTTTAGAGCAGGTTAGACCAACACCTGTCTCAGATGATCTAGATCAGTGGTCTCCAAACTTTTTTGATCGCGCACCCCATCAGTAAAAAATTTGTGAGCACGCACCCCTTGCCGCGCCGAAGAAAAGAAAAAAAAGCGTTCCTCCTGCCACGCACCCCCAAGGATCCTCTTGCGCACCCCTTATCTAGACCAGTGGTCTAGATAATATAGTCTTGCCATGAGTGCAGGGGACTGGACTCCATGACCTTGATAACTCTCTGCCCTCATCCAACAGGACAGTGATGGAAGAGTCATCAAGTTGTCCTAGATACAATGGACCCATGAAGTGCTTTTACTATACAAATGTGGCTGCAACTATCAAAGCATGTAATAACATTCCCAAAGTGCAGTTTTTGACTTCCAAAAAGGCCAAACCAAATAAGAGTTGGACTTTATCGGATAAGGCAATATTGTGGTGAGAGAGTTGGGAGAAATCAAGGTAGTGCAAGTGGACTATTGAGGAGTAACAAGCAAACTTGTTTTACCAGTATTTGGCATGAAAAATTTCCTTTCAATTTTATTGTTAAAATATATATATTTTTGTCAACTGCTGCTGGAGATAAAGCATAAAGATAAAATAGCACAACGCAATTTTTATACTTTTACTGTATCAAGTAGGATCTCTCTCTCCTTTCCCGCCCCCTTTTTGGGGGGAGGTGTTTGGGGGTGGTGACAGATTATATGAAGGAGTTTTTCCCCCTCAAAGAGCATTTAAATTAATAGTTGACTGCTAGCTTCTATTTCCCGCTGAATAATCTCATGTGTTTACTTGTCATATTAATAGCTTAGAAAACATGGTTTAGTTAACACACAGGACTGGGAGTCAGGAGTCCTGCTTTCTATTCTGTTCTGCCAGAGACATGTTGGGCAAATTTCTTAACCTCACTGCGCTTCAGTTCCACCTTCTCCCTCCCCAGTCAAAGGGAGACTTACACTGACCAACTTTACAGGGCTCTTGAAAGACTAATTGCATTATCGTATTTGTATAATGCTTTGAAATCAAAGTGAGAGGCCCTACAGAGATGCAAAGAAAGCATTGCTGAACAAGAAAATCTAGAAACAAGTTCAAGTGATACTATATAAAAATGCTGTTTGTTGTTCTGTGAGGAAAAGAGCTCCTGAACTATAAAGCCATCATCTCAGCTGTTGTCGTGCAATAAATTCCATAGCGACAGACTGTTTAGTGCAAGTAGAATTATTATGGTCATATTTTAAGTTCCCAACAAAAATCAATATTGTCAGAAAAAGTAACAAGTAATGATCTGCCTCAGAAATAGGGTTGCAAATTTCTCACACTTTAAAAAACAATGACAATTCAGATGACATATTAAGTGGCCTTGAAAGTTAGGATAAACAATAGTTGCTTATATGCTAAATAGGAAAAAGAATGTTGTGCATTGATACAAATAGCAGAAAGAAATTAGCTAGAACATTAGAATTCAAATATGAAGGGAGAATGCAACCTTATCAATCACTCACAAAATAATGCCATTGATATCTCACCACTCCTGTTTTCATTCAAGTATTTCATTAACATGCAATGACATCAATCACAACAGTAACCTTACATGGCAATGTCAGGACATCATCCCATGTTTTGTGTGGTTTTCCATGTCTCCATTTTACAATATGTCCTTTCTTCACTTATTTTTTATTGCTGGAGTATGTATAATTGGAGGTGAGCAGGAAGAAGGGAAGTTGTTTCTTCTACCCTCCCCTATAACTGACAGCTGGGAAGGACAAAGTGATTCCAATAATTCCTGTCCATTTGTTCAGCACTCCCAGCAGCTGCCTCAAAGTCAGGTACTACAAGCACTGTTTTTCTGACAAATATCCAATTGGCCTAAATCAGATCTAAGCACTACATTGGTCACTTTCATCCTGGGCAGATACACAGATTAAAAGGCTATGAAACAGATTCACGTTCACATTCAACTGACAACGCATTTTTACTTAGACCATCTAGAAACAGCTTTTTTTTTTATTACAATGACAGCACAATTAATCTTCACAGCCATGAAATTTTGACTGAAGCAATCTGACAGCAAGCAGTAACTAAAAGCCATAGTTTCCATGCAAAGAGAATGTGAAAACTATGGCAACCAGGTACAGTACATTTTCATTATCCCATTATAAAAGATACACACATCAACTACAGTTTATACATTTTTCTTATTTATTCAAAACTAGGGGATAACAAAATGAGGGTTAAAATGTACGCCACCTTTTTTACATAAACAAATGCATAACAATCTATCAAAGAGATTCGTTTCACAAGCCTCTCTGTCCAAAAACACACACACAAATTAGTATTTTATACACAAATGTTTATTTCTCAAATAAACATCCCCTTTAAACACAAGGAATGAAATCTAAATCTTCATAAAGATGAATCCAAAATGAAATCCCTCCAGTACATTGTGTAATCACACTGTGTTCTTGGTCACTACTGGCTTTAACTGTTTAACATAAAAAAAAGGACAGATTATTTAAAAATCATGCTAATGGATTTCTAGCTCCTCCTCTGACCAGCTCAATACTGATCTGCAACATTTTAAAATTTTACATCGCCAAATTTGAAGCAAGTTTAAGTGTGGAACAGCTGTGCATTAAACACAAACGACTGAACAATAAGATTATAAGATGTAGTCAAGTTCATAACGAATGTAGGTGTTCTTTTCATCATTGTAGATTCTTGGATAATGTGCTATCAGGGCATCTTGTGAGCCAATATAGATTGAATTATAAATCTTCCAATACACATCTCTGACTTTCCTGGCAGGGTGAAACAAACCCTAGGAAAATAAAACAAAATATAAAATTAACAAGCAATGTACATTACACACTTGGTATGTGAGTTATGCATAACAGTAAAAATAAAACCAAAAAAACCCCTCAAGCAATTATTTTTAATGGAGTTTAGCTATTAAAATAAATGCCAACTAAAAGTCTGAGCTGAGAAAACACACTGAACTCTCTCCTGTTACTGCTATTCTTGTTTAACTTTCTAATGAAGATAAACAATGATTTGTCATTACTTCGTATAGAAAGGAAATATTCAAATTTTAGAGTTCTGCACCCTTTAAGTCTCATCTGTTCTTCAGATGTACGTACTCTCCACTGTATGAGTTTCTGGTTGTTTTGCTCTCTTTAGAAAGGCGAAGAGCCCAAACTCCAGTATATATAGCACTGAACTGGACATCAGCAGGAGACACAAGTTCTATTCCTGGCTGTGCTAACTTGCTGTGTCCCAGAGGAAGTCACATCACCTCTCTGTGCCTCAGTTTCCTCAAGTTGTTAAGTGGGGATAATGCTACTCAGTTTCTCCTTTGTACAGCACAGAGATGAACACATGGAACACAAGAGTTAAGTTTTTATTATCATCATCCCCTTCCCTTCAGGACAGGTAGAATTTTAAGGCTCTAGGGAAATATTAATCTATTGCTTAGTAGTTTCAGTGAGGAAAATACAAATTAAGAATACAAAACAGAAACGGCAGATGTCCCCCTGCCCTTTCTTTCCTTTTCCTACTCCCTTATTCCTACTCACTCCTCACCCTACCATCTTAAAGAGCAAAACAAAACACCAGAAATGCAACTAAAGAAGCAGAGTCAGTTCCTCGCTGTATTCATTTCCCTGTACGTTATATCCTCACTCCCCTGCCTTTTGTCTGTTTTGTCTATTAGACTGCAAAGCTCACAGGACAAGAAGCATCATTGCCTATGACAGTATAGCAATGGGGCCTTTGGATGCTACCATAATATAAATGTTCACTAATAAACAATATTCAAACCCAGTGCTGAGAGAATATTTCCTATCTTACAGTCTAGTTTTCCAGTGCTTTGAGCTATCTAGTTTTAATGGTCTTGAAAGATGAACAGACCATTCTATGCACTAACACTAATCACTATCAGCTTGTTTCCTGATATTTAACCTAAATTCAATTTAATTTCATCCATTATTTTCTCTTACACCACCATTGTTCCTCTCAGTCCTTTGTATTTACCTTCAAGCATCTGCAGATAGTTATACCCTTACAAGTTAGTCAAACTCATTTTTCCCATCATCAACCTCATCTTTCATTCCCCACGTGTTTTCTGCAGCCCCATGATTACTTTCATTTCACTTCTCTAAACTCCCTAAATATTGTCACCAGAAATATGTAAACAGAGTGTGCAGAACTGAATACAGTATTTCAATTATAGTTTGAATCACAAAGTAATACTATTACTCTCCCACTTCTGGGGCGTAAGGCAACATTACACTGCATATACTGAAGCTGATGTCAATTATCATCCTTAACACACTTTTGGGATTTCTGCTTTACAGGTGTTTCCTCCTTGTTGAGTATCAAGGTTTGACAAATTACTTTCCCTGCCACCCCAACGTAAGTAAGCATACCTGTAAACAATATTGCAGCATTCTACACGGTCCAATGGCAACTCTTAGGCCCTCCAGTGCACCCATAACTGCCTGAATGACGTGAGGAGATGTCTCAAACACATTGGGCCACACATAATTTAACAAGTGATTCAGAGAATCCTCACAGCCAAATCCGTATACTCCAAGAGACATATGCTGCACCACAGCACTGGCTGTTTGTCTGTGTACAAGGTCTCTGCAAAGAAAACATAACCTGTTTATTTAACAAGTTCACTTGCAAATAAAACTTTCTGTTGGAAATCATAATAATTAGGGCCCTACCGAATACCATGAAAAATATATCATGGATTGTGAAATCTGGTGTCCCCCCATGAAATTTGGCCTTGTGTGTGCTTTTAACCCTGTACTATATAGATTGCATGGAGGAGACCAGCCAGTGTTTCTAAAATTGGGGGTCTTGACCCAAAAACCTTGGCAGGGAGGTCACAAGTTTACTTTAGGGGGGTTGCGGTATTGCCACACTCACTTCGGTGCTGCCTTCAGAGCTGGGCAGCTGGAGAGTGGCGGCTGCTGGCCGGAAGCCCAGCTCTGAAGACAGCGCTGCCACCAGCAGCAGTGCAGAATTAAGGGTAGCAGTACCGCAACACCCTTACCTTAATAATAACCTTGTGACCCCACCACACACAACTCCTTTTTGCGTCAGGACTCCTACAATCACAACAATGTGAAATTTCAGCTATTTAAATCTGAAATAATGAAATTTACTATTTTTAAAATTCTATGACCTGAACTTGACCAAAATGGACCATGAATTTGGTAGGGCCCTAATAATAATGCTTTTCTGACACAAAGAATGCTAAAAAGTTCTGATGATACTCGTCTGTTCTTCCCTGCAAACAGCATGGGGCAGAGAAATTACACTTCAAATCAGCTAATAAAAAATTATCTAACAGTTTCATAGGAGAAATTACTATCATTTAACGCTGCTCAAAAGCCTAGAAAAATAACTGATTAAAAGTAGTCCTAATATGGTAAATCCTGGGTCAGTCATTCTGTAATTCTCATTTTGCAAACTTTTAATCTTCAAAAAAGGAATGTATAGTTGTTTGGAACACAGAGAAAGTTGGCTTGAATTACATCAAGCTAAAATATATGTTATTCTATTAACGTTTTTGATGAAGCAATCATCTTCTGCTGTTGAGGAACCAGGCATGGGATGGAAGTGTGTTTAATGTAACAAGGAGAACCTGAATGTGACTACAAGTATCCTAAGCAATAAATTACTAACCTGTCCATTAAAGCATCTTCAAGCAATGGTGTAACAGCATAAATGTAATCTTTTCCCATCTCTCCAATGTATTCAAACAGAAAAGAAAGAGATTTTAATACACCATTCTGGACATTCAGTTCTGGAACTCTGTATTCATTCATCAGAGCAGGCAGTACTGTGAAAGGTGAGCATGTTTCAGCTACAATAGCAATTGCTACTGTAGTACATACTCTGTTCTGTCTTTCCTGTACTTTCAGGTTATTTAGCAGTGTAGCCAGCACATCATGGGGTCTGGAAGAGACAAAATGCAGAAGTTTGTCAGTGAAAAACTGTAAATATGTACTAAGTTACTTTTAATGTCAGAAACCAGTCAGTCAATAATAGATTGTATCTCAGTGAGAGACAGCTGATTTGGAACTAGCAGAAGGCAGTGAGTTTGGAATAGCTAACGTAAGTACCCGTGTGATCTTTTCATGACCCTCATCCATCCTTCACCACTTGGAACTCAGTTGTTGTATCTTGCCTCAAATTAGCTACCTCCACTCTTTGGAATAAGAATTTTCTGTTACTATAGCCCTGATCCTGCAAACATTTATGCTCTTGCACAAAATTACACACATGCTAAGTGTTAGCTGGATTAGGGTGTATATTCGTACAGTGCTTGTATGATGTGGTCCCAATCTTAGGGCTTCTAGATACAAGGCATCTGTTTTCAATAGATTGCTTATTTGGATGGCTGACCATTTGCTAAGAATATGTAGACTATTTATACAGAATTAAGCTTCAATCTACAGTCTGTGCCAAGACTATAAATTGGGAATACAAATTAACAGCAAAAACAATTTCTTTGTTGAAGTTCTTTATTACAGAAAACACTAATGGAAGAGACTTGTGGAACCACAATCTCAAGAGCAAGATTGTATGAAAGGACCCAGGAAACACCCGACTGTACCATTTCCTCCAATTTCTCAATCAGAAAAACATATAAACTTATAAAATTATAACCATTCTAGTACAAGCACTGGAAGAAGATGGCTACAACTTAACTTTATTCTTTCAACCAACATAAAAACGTACTTTAATCATGTCTGCCCTGCAAAGCTAGGGTATATCTACACTAGAAACCCTACATAGTGCAAAAATTCTCTCTACGGTGGCATAGCTGCAGTGCTGCTTTAGCGCTGTAGTGTAGACACTTAATACAGCGATGTAAGGGGGTGGAGAGGTGATAGGTAGGTTAATGGAAAAATTATACCATCAACCTAGCGGTGTCTAGACTGGGGCTTAAATCGGCTTAATCAATCACATAGGGCGTGAAATTTTACATAGCCCTGAGCGATGTACTTAACACTGTAATGTAGACCAGCCCCATGTCCATTAAAACAGCATATGTTACTGAAACATAACTGACTGTAGTTTACCTTCTATAAAGTGAATAAAACAAAGTACAAAAAAAATATTTTAAACAACAATTTGGCTAAAATTTTAAGAACAAAAGAAATTCAATGTTATTTTTTCAACAAGACCCACAATCACCACCATTCTAAGAAAGGGCCTACACATGCTGTTCAGTATCAAGGCAACATACTTACCCAATAGCTTTTGCAATATAACCAAAAGTGTTCACTGTGGCTCGTCGGATAGCTTTCTTGTGAGCTTTTAACAACTCCAGCAGTTCAAAACAGATCCTCATCCATTCCCTTGCAGAAACATATTCTGCACCCCTGGATAAGAAAGGAAATGCAAGTATTTTAGTGAAATCATTCCTTTTTTAAGCAAAAAACAGATTACAAGATGTACACCTATGCTACTAACACAGGAACATAGGCTCACCTTTTCTCTTTTTAAACAGTTAATTGGATGGCTATGTGAATTTTTTTTTTATAAAAGAGTACCCAAACCACATATAGAATTAAGCTTCATTCTACGATCTGCATCAAATCTATGTAAACTGGCAAACCAATGAAAGACTAACAGTAGCAAATAATATCATTTAAATAGTATACGAGACTGCAAATGCATACTTGATCGATCATACTTTGTATCTACATATTTCATTTTACTAATCATGAAGAACTGTTAATATGAACAATCTTTGTAATAAAGCTTAAGAAACTCCAATAGCCCCAAAGATTTATAAAATCCAGATCCCAAACCTGATAACTAAATTATCAAACATTAAATGTGGGTAAATGTTGTGACCTGTTATGTAAGCAATTAACATGTCACAGCATTTCAGAAGTATACCACAACTCCTCACCTGTCAGCAATACGCCCAACTAGGTCGATACAATTCTCCTGTACTTTCTCATGTCTGTTTTTCAAGATAGGTGTGAGTCTTGGCAGCAGGTCTTTAATTGGTGGCGTCATCTTGTGCATACCTGTTCAACAGAATGACACCTTATTAAGTCTCAGATTCTCTTAAACTCTCCCCACCCCCGCCCCACTCACCCATTTCCTTACTTGCCTCTGGCACAGAAAAACCCACATACCTATAACATTCACAATGGCTTTAAGTGCTCCAAGTATACTGCCTAATACTTCAGGGTATTCCTCACCCAGATACTCATACAGGACAACACCCAAGTGTCCCATCAGTTTTTCCTAGAACCAAGTAACAAGATGTAAAAGTTAACAAAAATTCTCTCACTTTTCTTTAATTTAAAAATGACTTTCTATGGAAAAGAGGAATGGGAGAAATAAATACCTCTTGACAAGTCTTCATGACAACTGCAGTACGTGAGATCAGGTCAGCAGCCTGCTGCCTAACTTTGGCTGATTTGTTGTTCAAACGCCATAAAACTGTACCACAGATCTGGGGCAAGTATGGTTTAACTCGTTTGCCAAGAGCATTAACCACTGTGCCAAAGCCATTCAACATCACAGAGTCCTAAACAACAACAACAACAACGGGTTAGAAAAGTAAGATCAACTACATCACTAATTGCATGCAGTGTTGTTGTAGCCATATTGGTCCAAGGATATTAGAGACACAAGGTGGGAGAGCTAATATCTTTTATTAGACCAACTTCTTTTGCTGAGACAGACAAGCTTTCGAGCTTACACAGAAGAGCAGCTCTATGTAAGCTCAAAAGCTTGCCTCTCTCACAAACATAAGTTGTTCCAATAAAAGGTATTACATTGCCCACTTTGTCTCTCTTATATCAACTGTCCATTTACTATTGAACTCCTTTTGTACCTACAACCTTTATAATATATGCCACTTTAATATTCCAGAACTGCCTTACAAATTTCAGTGCTCTTTGTTCCAATTAAAAAACCCACGTAATTCTTGTTTGGATTTCAAGTGTAAATACACTGGACCCTCGCTAGAATGCGGGATCTGGGATCCATGCGCGGTACCGCATTAACGCGGGGAATGCGTTAAAATGAATTGCAATTAAAGTAATTAAATTTGGGAGCCATGGCCGCAACCACGTTATATGTAAATTTGCGCTATATAGATGCGCGTTCTAGCGAGGGTCCGGTGTACTAATTTTTCCAGAACAGTGTAAACAGATTAAATTAAATAAGTTAACTGCTAAGAGCATCTTCTAACAATACCTCTGTGGTCTGTTCCTGGAAGGCATACAGGATACCATCAATAAGTTGTTCTTCTAGTTTATGGTCAATGTCTGCTGCACCCAGGTTCCCCATTATTTTTTCAATTGTTTCCATAACCATTTTTCTGTACTGTTCAGCCTCATCTTTCAGATCATCCACAATCCTGGAAATAATTTCTGCTGCTCCGACTTTGTTTGCCAGCTCCACTGTGGTATCAACCAACTGAAACATAAAAATATAGCTTTGGGCAAAATAATCAGAGAGTGATAGTTTACAAAGACTTCCTAAAACCTCTAAGATGACCTGTGAAATCCTTTGCCTGGTACAAGAAAAGAAAGGGACATCATGCAGATATCATTTACTCTCAAGAACAGAATAACCCTTCTCAGGCAACAACCAAGTTACAGGAAGCCATTTTTAAGGTTGTGGGTAAGCAGAAAAATTTCCAGAATCTCACATTCTTGTCTATATCCTGAGAAAAATTATTGCAAATGGACTAATCCACTTGGCTGTTCTTTGCCTTCAAGTTAGGGCGTGGAGGAGTTTTCCCTGCATGGATAATTAAAAATTACAAAACATGCTGTTTTTTAACTAATGTGAGAGGTGGATGTATTGCCCGGATAGTTAAACACATTTTTTTTTAAATGGGAGTTTGTGTCATTCACAGTGATAGGGTGAATTTCCAGAGTTTGTTTCCTGTTAGGATGGACTGAAAATGATTTAAAACATATTGCAATGTTAATCTCTCTCAACTGGAAGGACCAATACTAGAGTGGATGGAAAGTGGAGCATTTAAGTCCTCTCTGAGACTATCAACTTGGGTGTTTATTTGAGCTAATACCGGTAACACTTTTGTGATGGAGACACCTATCAACTAGAAACCGAAGCCAACCAGTCATTTTACATAGCACAAATAAGCCATCAGATGGTAATTACTTTTGCACTACCAACTGACTGGTATTCAAACCGGTAAACTAGACGCAAAATGTTTTGTATCCCATTTAAGAATGCTGAGCCTTTTAATCATCTATCCACATCTCACGATGTCTCTCTGCCCAAAGTGAACGCCATCTCAAGGTGCATTGAAAAAGTCAAAAATAAATTCACCATCATCAAACATCTCTCTATATACACCATTTTATAAATTTAATTCAAAGCAGTTTAAAATCTTTTCCAAACTAAACTATACCTGTCTGTAATTTCGTCTGTCCAGTGCCATTCTGTGCTGCCAAAAGTGTTTGAAAAACGGCGGCAGAATCTCTGTTTTAATGTAGTTGGCTTCAACGCCATCTGTACCACAACACTGCTTTACTACCTAGCAGGGAATAAAAATACAAGTTTTAATGCTGTAGACCATTTTTTTTTTTTAGAAGAATGCTTATTATGACAGATTTTTTTATTGATCCAAATCACAAGTAATATCAAGTTTACTTTAAACATTACACTGACAGTGTTTAAGTGATTTTGACATACCTTTAACACAATTTTTTTCATTTCTTCATCAGGAGACTGGAACTCTCGGATAAGGATTAGCATTACTTCTCTGGTATAGTAGTTGGCATACTCAGCGTCCATAAGAGGGATAAGGTACCCAATAGCTTTCAAAAAGGCAGCCAGACCCTATTTTAATACATAATATATTTGTCATGGGTATTAAAACGTATACAGCAGTTTACATTCAAAATACAGAGATGAGAAGAAACAGATACCTTTCCTCTGTGCTGACGTATGCCCTTCCACAAGGGCTTTAGAACGGAGTCAAATGATTCAATACCATAAGGAGTAGCTGCCTCAGCCAAAGCAGCAATCGCCAAAGCACTGATCGTGCGCACTTTCTGCTGCTCATCCACCAGACCTGGAAAACAAGTTATATTCAGTAAGTGCTTCTTACACCATTCCACGGAGCTTGAATTACTGTGGAAAAACAGGGGAATGTGGGCAAGAGGACAGGAAAGAGGGGGAAATTTCTTCTTTTGTTAAAGCATAAAAGCACGCTCCCCACTTTTCCTTTCCATCTTATGCTCAGCATTTCCTGGCACAAACCTTCAATATCTATTTTGGAATTAAAAAGTCTTGTTTACACAGAGAACTGTTTGCACTAAACTTCTAAAAATCAAAAACAATGAGGAGTTTCAGCTTCAAATGTCTCTTAAGATTCAGGCCTCTTCAGGAAAGATACTGAAGTGCTGCTTCCACTTGGGCAGCTATTTAACAAAAAGGAATCATTGTAGAGAAGTCATGGGCAGGGGAAATCCAGATGAAAAACCTCATGCTATTTTGTAATACTTGGAGAAAACAGAATTGAAACAAAACACCCAACTACATCAGGCTGTGCTCTAACACTGCAGAAGTTGATTTTTTAAAACATTTCAGAAAAAGTAAACGGATTGTTTACAATCTATGAAGTGCCTCTATTGTGGATTTTAAAACATTTCAGTCCCTAGAATTCCAGATCTTCTCAACATGAAGTCCCAAGAGCTCCATAATACAGTGGTTAAAACTGACCAGCAGATGTTTCACTAAAACAAGCAATTACAATACAAGTCATCTCAAGTGCTGTAGTGTGAACTCGATACATGTGGATGTTATTGTATCAATAAACACACTTCTTCAATTAGAATTGGCTCGCACTTTGCTCATTGAATTCCAAGGGTTCTCCGTAATTTAACCATTAATATAGAGAATACTTTAAATTATACAAGACTTGTTGAGAGATGGAGAACGCAGGATAATATGCAGTTATAAAGAATCAAAACAGTATTCTTGTCATCTACTAGTCAAAACATGGTCCAAAGAGCAAGAAATATACTACATAAGAACTAAAGGATTAATAGTCCAAAAGAAATTAGAAGTACTAGTTATTTTCAACTTATTGTCTTCCGTGCTTTATAGCCATAACAACTCACATATAAAGGTTTATTACAGTTATTTAAACCAGCCTAGAGACCAAAATCTTGACAAAAACTATAAAAAGGAAAGACGAATACTCTGATATAGTCTCTATTAGAATTACAAAGTCTAGGCCTGACATTCAAGAATTTGAGTCTTTAATTTAACCAACAGCCTTATGTACAAACTAGAGAAAACATTTAACAAAAACAGAACGTACCATGTTCAATGATTTCAACCAAACTTCTGAGATGAGGCAAGATAGCACAGCCCATAAGAATAGCAATTTGCTGTACAATCTTGATGCCAGTGTGCCTAGCTTGCCAGGATTTTTTGCTCTTACATACAGCTTTCAAGAAGGGCAACAGAGAAGGAATGCCTAAAGCAGAGGCAACAACAGCAAAGGCTCGAGCTGTTGTATTTCGGACATACTCATCCATGTTATCAATATCAGGTCGCATGGTGGAGATCATTGTAGCCAAACCAGCAGCCTGAAAGACAAAAAATAAAACATATATACTTGCGTACAGGAATGATGAACTTTTAACTTCTTTGCTGGTTTGTAAGTTTCTTATCACATATAACCATTACTTTTTCAATACTAAAAAGCAGAATACTCTAGGTCAAATAGTTACAGTTACATTTTAGTTATAACACTATCACATTCAGTACAAAAAGGAAGAACACTGCAGTGTTATTACCTTAGCCAAGTTTGATATAATTTCTCTGCCTTCCACTCTCGCATAGTAGTCTTCATCAATCAGCAGTGGTTCAATGACCACAAGAATCTGAAAAGAGTAACAAATGAACAAATTAACACTTCAAATTATATTAATTAATGTCTCTCAACTCAAGTATTATTGTCCACTTCAATAGTTCTAGCCCTAAGAAAAGGCTGGTTAACATGGTGATTCAATGGCTCCCACGCTCATTAAATTCAAAAGATCATCATCTCCCTTAATAATCCTTTACCCCCTCATTCAACATTAATTCACATACTGATTTTCTAGACCTTTCTCCTCTAAGACAGGATGCCAACACCAGCGATATTGCATGGATCAGCCACCACAATCTTTTACTTCCAGCGCATGAATATACAATTAACTCCTCCAGACCGCCTTGCTTTTAAGTTTTATTCATACAATTTATAAAAGATATTCTGCAAATGAAATCTGGTAAATTACTATATAAAATCATTTTAGTATTAAATTCTGTACGTCTAATGAGGACAATCTATCTCTAACTATGCACTCCTACCGATAATGTAAATATTTTTTTTTAAAATGAAGATTCAAATGCACGGATGCATAAATATCTGTAAATCTGAGCCACAGAAAAGTAACTATTATAGAGTAGAGAACGCATTCATAAAACAAATATTAAATATTCAAGTAAATTTCACTGAAACAGACCTTGTGTACATATGGTCGGACCAAATCATCCAGTTTGTATAAGATTCTATCAATAACTTTGACAAGCAAGTGACGTTCTTGATCTTCAAGTGTTGGTGACATCAGCAGAGGTAGAATCTGATTAAACAGCGGACCTGCTCCAAATTCACGAGCTTTATCGGTAATCTGACGCAAAGCAGCCTAAAAAAAGAAACCCCTCTGAATTAAACCACACAGAATGAAACCAAAATAATACAACATTTGTATGTAATGAGCAAAATCAAGCCATAATCAAGAGCAATTCTACTGATTTCAAATGATTTATGCATGCTGTTGCCAGAAATGCATTTGGAACAATGATCTTAAGATACAATAAATATAACATCCTTCATATAAACGTGTCACAAAATGCTTTATAGATGTAATTATTATAAAACAAATACTTACTGAATTATTTAATACATTTGTGACCAATACAAAAATTAAGAGGCATAAATAAGGGGAAAACAATACAGAGAGAAAGCAAGAGCTAGATGAGAAGAAGGAAAAAATAACAGACAGAAATAAAAGTCCTTAAGAAGCAGCTTGGAGCAAGCCCATGGGCAGTTTTAGGGAAAAAAGAGGTGAAACTGGGAAACTGAAAATAAATGGGAAGGAAATTACAGTATTTGAAAATGAGAGTGGTATGTCCACATCAGAAGAATGTCTTACTTTTCTCATTGGAGGTGTACCATTCTTTATTTTCAAGAGCAATTTCATTATTTTTCTTTCTTTCTGTTCTTCTGGACTAAGCGTTGATTCATCAACATCAACCTATAAATAATTACAAATATATTAATTAATGCACAGTTTTTCTACCATCTCCAGCCCCATATTAGGAGACATTAAATCAGTATCAATAAAATCTCATTTACCAATAGTTTATCAAAATATTGAATATCATCTGGTTTTAGGAATGGAAGATTTCCAGATGGTTGGTCATTAACGCTCTTCATGGTCCTATCTTCTGTTTGCATGTGGAATCCAGTCATACCACCCAATGGCGTGGGAGTTGCTGTAAGTTTGCGAGCTGGAGTACGAATAGGCACATAACCAGCTGGAGGGGGAAGAACCTGAAGTGAAATGAAGATAAAAATAATGCACTGAAATAAGGAAGATACAAACATCTAAACACTAAAATCTAAAAAGTATTTTCAGACTGCAAAGCAGAATGTTAAAAATAACATTACCTGACAGTCGTCAACAGCCTCAGAAAAGGGAAGATGTCAGAAAAATGCAGAGAACGACTGATACAAGTGTCTGTCATGTTAACTGTTTATTCTATTGATTTGTGACAGTCATCCGGCATATGTTTTAGAGTCTACTTTTGTATTGTTGTAAATTAAATAACTGTGATCTAATAAATTATTTCAAACTGTGTACATGCTGTTGGACTTGAAAGTACAGGAATGATGTCAAGAGGAGTCCTAACAAGCATAAGTACTACTGTAAAGATCTCATGAGCAGAGAGGAAATATTAGCCTTTAAGTGAAGGGTCTGATATGAATATTAAAATAAGTGGGTGGTGTTTTTTAAATGTAGCATGTTAATACTGTCTTACTGACAGTTTTCAATCTCTGGCCGATCTGTTTTACCACGCCATGGGCTCTAGTTCTGCAGCTGTTCCACATAGGGAACTCCTTCTGAAATCAGCATGAGCTCCCTAAGGTGAAGCAGAAGAAAAACTGCCCTCCCTTTAATTTACCTCTTAAGTTTTTCCCTTCTAATGGATATTTATAAAATACCAATAACTAAACTGACAAATGTTAGCATGAATTCATCTGTAGTTAGCTTGAAACATTCAAATCATAACATTTATTTTATTGTTAAAATCCATATTCTGAGTGGAAAATGTATCACCAGTATGTTACAGCATTTATACTGACAGACTGCTTAGATTTATTCAGATCAACTACCTTATATCCCTCTGGGAACATGGCATCCAATTCTTCATCAGATAGTGGCCGGTTTCTCTCATCTATTTCTCTTTCCCAGCGCCATGCCTGCAGCTGTTCAGGAGTCATGCTCATTATATGACCTACATTTATGTAAAAGAAAGGATTTTAATTTTTATCTTCTTTAACATTGTCTGGAATTAAGAGATATTCAGCACTTGAGTACAGAACTGGCCTCAGAATTCCAATCGCTTGAGTTAGAACTTTCAAGAAGCTCTTTAGCAATTCTTGCCTATCAATTCAACAAACATTCACAGCAGACTTTGAGGTTACACTGTTCTGTGTTCTCTACCAGAATTAAATTGCTACAGACATTTAGAATACAAAGTTGGGCTTCCATAGTCAAAAAACAGAACAGGGATGCCTACATAAGTCTACATTATTTTTACATTTTAATATGAAGTGATAGAAAACAGAAGCCTTAGTTAATGGATTAATCTTACCTGGCGTAGGGGTTGCCATATTCATGGCTGGTGTACCAATTGGTGTTTTGCCAGGTGTCAAAACGGGAGTACTACCACCCATTTGGCTAGCAGGTGTTTCATCCCAACGTGACTTCCTTTTACTTGCTCCAGGAGTTGGGGTTTCACCAACTGAATCACCACCTCGATCTGTTCGAGGAGTCTCAGCCCATCCACTGCCATGTCCCGGTGTATCTATAAAAATAAAAGCCCAATTTTTTTCAGATTATGATGGCTGCAAGTCAGATCTTACAAGCAAAATCCTAAAGTTTCTGAAAGTGAAAACAAACAAACAAAACATTCTAAAAGGGAAGCATTACAACAATATCAAGATCTGATCTTCCTTACACTATTCCATTCCACTCTTTCATCTCCTTGCCCATAACAACATACTAACAGAAACATCAAGCTCCATCACTGGTAGATCAGATAAGCAAAGATACCAAACAGGTAAGCAAAAACTTCTCTCATCCTTAATATTAAAGTCTACCACCAGTCTAATGAATGTATACAAGAATTTAATCTTAGGTACGAAAAGAGTCTGTCTTTTTTATATTCTTTGGTTTCATCTGAGCAATCCGTACTAGATATCGTTGCAACATATTTGAAAGAAACTGATTATTTTATATATTAAATTAAACACTCCAATACTTGCTTTGTTAAAATATTTTAACAATTTAACATATGACAAAGATTTTTTCTATAGTCTAACAGGCAAATAAAATTTGTCAAAGCAAATTGGGGGGAGGGATAGCTCAGTGATTTGAGCATTGGCCTGCTAAACCCAGGGTTGAGAGTTCAATCCTTGAGAGGGCCACTTAGGAATCTGGGGCAAAATTGGTCCTGCTAGCGAAGGCAGGGGGCTGGACTCGATGACCTTTCAAGGTCCCTTCCAGTTCTATGAGATAGGTATATCTCCATATATAAAAATGGGTATAAATGGATAAATCTTATGAAACATGCCCAATTGACAGTATAAGCAACATTTTCTATATATCCATAAAAGACAATACAATGTCAACTTCTCTGTCCTGTCAGCATGCTTCTGTCAACCTAGCTGCTGTTGCTCCATGAGACAGTTCCTACTGTGACACCAAAATCCCTTCTGCATTTACACTACAAGGTTACAGTGGCGTAGCTATGGCACCATGGCCACTGATGTAGTGCGCATACTGCATAGCCTTAGTTTCCTTTACTAAAACCATGAGGGGTGACATTTTTGTGATAGAACGCTGCCTACTAGCACCTGAAAAATACATCAGCCACTCGATGTCTGAGAGCAGTAACTTTTTTCCCTACTTCTGGCCTGACTTGCTTTCATACTGACAGCCTGAAGTGAAAAGTTCTTATCCCATTACCCGTCCAGACCTTTCTATCAATTCTAGTAATTTCAGAAATACCTCTTTCTGTTTTGGGGGTCTCATCCCATCGATTTTTACGTGCACTGGAAGTTGCACCTCCATGGCCTGGAGTTGCATGACCAGGTGTGTCCCGTCCAGGGGTTGCAGCTCCTGCTGGTGTATGACTGGGAGTAGGATCCCATATTTTTGAGCCTGGGGTTGCTCCAGGAGTCTCACTACCCTTTGCACGGCCAGGAGTTTCATCCCACCTCAAAGAAGGAGTATGTCCAGGGGTCTAACCAAGACAAAAGCAGAAGCTGTTAAAACTCCTCAGCTACCTTTGATTTTATTTTGTACAATAAAAGGTAGGTGCTTAATTTCTATTTAGTATAATAAAAGTGCAGTCTGTGAGATATCTATAGAAATCAAGAGCTTCTGTAGAACTCTTAAGACTTGCTGGAAACTTTAACAGCTTATACAACACAAAGGTGAACCAATAAAGTGATAATTACCTCTGCTTGATCCCAACTGGATAGTTTTTTAGGAGTAGTACCAGGAGTCTGGTCAGCTGTTTGATCCCAACGACGTTTGCGTTTTGAAGGTGGCTGGGAGGAGGTGCCATTGACGACTTTAAGTTCCCCAGCTTTAGCTTTTTCTGCTAGTTGTTGCCTAATTTCCCTCTGTTAAAAAAATAGAGAATTTATTCCTTAGAAGGGCACTCACGTTAAAAAAATTCTCAAAACAAGTTTCTTTAGGGTAATATTGTAGGTTACTACAACAGAGACAGTAAAGTCTAATTTACTTTCATGCTGTTTCCTTTTGCATTTTTCTCAGCTTAGACAATGAAATTTTGACCCCGTTTATAATAAATTTCTGGTCAATTTAATTTCAAGTTCCCCTACACTAGCATAAAGCTGCTATGTTTGTGTTCAGCATTCTGCAGTAGAATATTTATTTAAAAAAAGTTTTCACTGGACTGTTTTTAAAGGTTTCAGAGAAACATCTATATTGATATTAGATTTTTACAAAACCAGTATTTTAGGCCAAACGTGTCTTACCACTGTCTTTCTAAAAGGTTCTAGATGTATTACAAATGGAAAGTTAAATCAAATTTTATTTTAAAAGTGATTAATTACACAATACTTTTCAATATGTGATTAGTAAGACAATGTACATTTAAAAACTTTACTACACATTTGCCTCAACCAAACAACTTCTTTACCCAAGTGCTTAGAAAAGTATTATTTTAAAAATATTTTTAAATGAATTATATCACAGCATGTAATATTTGAAGCTATTCATTTAGGTTTTAGTTAGCTATATGTCTGATCTTAATTAAATGTTAAGAAGATTGCGTTAGACAACTTGGATATATAATTCATATGGAACTCTTTATTTTAACTTATCAGTATATACATAAATATTAAGATGACAAATAAAAAATATGGGCCAAATCCTCAAGTGGGGTAAATCAGCATAATTCCATTGAAGCCACGTGTGTGTGTGTACACACACACGCATGCAATTTGCACCATTATTTTGGTTATTAAAAAATAAAGTTTTAAATATCAACTTTTAAATGTTTACGCTTTTTAATTTTTCTCATCTTTGACCAAAAATCAATGTCGGTTTCATACTAGAGTTCTTAGTGCTGCAACATGCTGTAGGCCTGGTTTGACATAAATGAGACTTCATCTCTTAAGAGACAGGATTAGGGAGGTAGGCTGGAATCAGAATGGCTGTACCACCTAAGATACACCCAGACAACATTTACAATGGACAAGATAACAACAGATAAGGTAAGTTGGGAACGTAAGATGACGTTAGAGTAAATCATACATGAACAGTGCCTGGACAGAGTATGCTGTACAGGGACTGGTTCCTACAAAGTAACCAAGCCTATCTCAAAACGTGTAATGCAATGTATAGTAAATGCAATATAATGTAAAAATATATACAAAGGAAGAGTTTTGTTCTGTAACTTCAGATATGTGGTATGCACTGTACCCAGCCCCTATGCTTGTGCGTGTTCAACTCAAGTGTAGTTTAATTGTATGCAATAAAGAAAACTCAGTGATGAGCTCTGAGTCAAGCTGTGTTCTTGGGAACTAAGTGGATAAGGTCTTGGAGGATGAGTAGATAATGTCTCAGAAGCCACCCCAACATACTCCTGAGCGGATAAGGTCTCAGAGGCTACCACTACTTACTGGTGCAGCAACTCGGATCCATTTGTCTGCAGCAGGTAACATATACACCCCTTAGTGTGAGGGTCGCAACCTAGCATTAAGGAAAATGGCATTGGAAGGAATTAAGGGTTTAATATGAAGAACTTAGTATCACACTGGAGAAGAAGGTTAAATCTAAGGGCAGACCCTATGGACTCTCCAGAGAAGTATTAAGGGGAGAGTGGGATCAAGTGAAAAAGGAATTCCAGAGAGCAAGGAAAAAAGAGGTACATAAAAAATGAATGCTTGGCTGAGCACACCAGAGGTCTGTTGAATGCCACTGAAATTTTCAAAAAATAGGACACTTTGGCAACCATGGAAAAAACCAATACCTAGTTTTGTCCCCCTAAAACAAAGAAAGCCAAAATCAAGACAGCAGTTTCTTAAGGATTGTTTTTGATGGCTAAAATTTTAAAAACAAAATGTGTCACCTTAAGGAATGAATGTATAAAGCATAAAGAATAAATGAAAGTTGTAGAGAAGGAAACAAACTAAATAGAAAAGATTCCTGAAAGGTCGAGAACACAATGCCTGTTACCTATTTGCAGGAATCCAAAGTAAAAAGCAGCTGTCTGTCAAAGGCTGTATTTAGTGAGTACAGCTTTTGCAGGCAAAGTATATGAAGTTAAAAAATAAGAGCAAAAAACCACAAAAGGTAAGTTCAGAGCCACCAAAAGAATTTGCCTGAGAAATGTGTCCCTTTGGGAGATAAGTAAGTGATTTAAGGAAAAAGAAAGAGAAGTTAAAAGGAGCTTTTGCACAAATGAACACTGCAGAGTTCAGAGGGAATTAAACGGTGGGGTTGTGAAATGTTACAGTGAAAGTGTTAAAGAGGATGTTGAAGGGTTAAAGAAGAGAATGCTTGGTTTGATAATGAAACCCAGTTATGGCAGTATAACTCATGCAATCACACCCAGATAGCTCAGTGGTTTGAGCATTAGCCTGCTAAACCCAGGGTTGAGAGTTCAATCCTTGAGGGGGCCATTTAGGGATTTGGGGCAAAAATCTATCTGGGGATTGGTCCTGCTTTGAGCAGGGGGTTGGACTACATGACCTCCTGAGGTCCCTTCCAACCCTGATATTCTATGATTCTATGAAAACCCTTAGTAATCAAATTATACAAATGGGAGGTCAGGTATATTGCACTATATGCAATTTCCCCCCAAGATGATTTCACAACTATTCTGAAGGAAATGGGCCCTTCCAATTAATGAATGTAAATAATTGTGCTGGCTGCTGCAAATCAGTGACAATCTGATTTGAATAATGGGATTATGCATGATTTAGTCAAAATGACTAAAAAAGAAATAGGGATTTTGATATGGCTTGATTGGTTCTGAATATACTAGTGGGGATGTGATCTGGGTTTTATTGTGTAGAAAAATAAATAAGAGCAATGCAAGGGGCATTAATTAGCTCAAACAACAGATTTACTAGATTTTTTTAACAAATTGAAAATTGCCTGTCAGAGAAAGAAAAAAATTAAGTGCAACAATCAGCTTATTAAAGCCTCAGATAGCTGACACACACAAGGAAAATATGGGAGTGAAAACAGCACTAACAACTAGGGCTGTCAATTAATTGCAGTTAACTCATGCAATTAACTCAAAAAAATTAATGGCAGTTTTAATCACACTGTTAAGCAATAGAATACCAAGTGAAATTTATTAAATATTTTTGGATTTTTTTTTTTTTTACATTTTAAAATATATTGATTTCATTTACAACACAGAATACAAAGTGTACAGTGCTCATTTATATTATTTTATTACTAATATTTCCACTCTAAAAATGATAAAAGATAGTATTTTTTAATTCACCTAATACAAGTACTGTAGTGCAATCTCTTTATCGTGAAAGTGCAATTTACAAATGTAGATTTTTTTGTTATGTAACTGCACTCAAAAACAAAATAATGTAAAACTTTAGAGCCTACAAATCCAATCAGTCCTACTTCTTGTTCAGCCAATCGCTCAAACAAGTTTGTTTACATGTACGGAACATAATGCTGCCTGCTTCTTATTTACAATGTCACCTGAAAGTGAGAACAGGCGTTCGCATGGCACTATTGTCGCCGGCTTTGCAAGGTACTTACATGCCAGATATGCTAAACATTCATATGCCCCATCATGCTTTGGCCACCATTCCAGAGGACATGCTTCCATGCTGATTATGCTCATTAAAAAATAATGTGTTAATTAAATTTGTGACTGAACTCTTTGGGGGAGAATTGTATGTCTCCTAGTCTGTTTTACCCAAATTCTGACATATATTTCATGTTATAGCAGTCTCGGATGATGACCCAGCATGTTATTTGTTTTAAGAACATTTTCACTGCAGATTTGACAAAACGCAAAGAAGGTACCAATGTGAGATTTCTAAAAATAGCTACAGCACTCCACCCAAAGTTTAAGAATCTGAAGTGCCTTCCAAAATCTAAGAGGGACGAGGTGTGGAGCATGCTTTCAAAAGGTGTAAGAGAGCAACACTCAGATGCGGAAACTACAGAACCCGAACCACTGAAAAAGAAATCAACCTTCTGCTGGTGACATCTGACTCAGATGATGAAAATGAACATGCATCGGTCCACAATGCTTTGGATTGTTATTGAGCAGAACCCACCATCAGCATGGACGCATGTCTCCTGGAATGGTTGAAGCATAAAGGGACAGATGAATCCTTAGGGCATTTGGCAAGTAAATATCTTATGACGCTGGCTACAACATTGCCATGTGAATGCCTGTTCTCACTTTCAGATGACATTGTAAACAAGAAGCGGGCAGCATTATCTCCTGCAAATGTAAACAAACTTGCTTGCAGGTTTTTTTTTTTTTTTACATAATTCTACATTTGTAAATTCAACTTTCATGATAAAGAGATTGCACTACAGTACTTGTAATGGGGGAACTGAAAAATACTATTTATTGTTTTTTACAGTGCAAATATTTGTAATAAAAAATAAATATAAACTGAACACTGTACACTTTTATTCTGTTTTGTAATTGATATCAATGTATTTGAAAATGTAGAAAACTTTGTTAGTTAACCCTTCAAGTGTCTCAATGCTTTTATGAAGTTTAACTTTTTTTTTTTAAAGTAGGTTATAAATGTTAAATATAAATTTGCAAATAAAAATAGGCACTAAAAGGATGGCCAGAACCAGGATAGTGGGAAAAGATCCTTGATCCCTTTTTCAGTAGTAAAACAACTAAAAAACTGCAGAAGCAAAATAAATAATAATAAAATAAAATGACAATTCATCTCCAAGAATGGGCATAAGAGAAGCGGGCATATGAACAATGAACCTTAAGGTGTCTCTGAGTGACCAGAGAGTGACTTGTATAGGGGTACACGAACACTCTGTAAGCACAAAACAGTTCCACTTCATATAAATATTAAATTAAAATACTCAATATATACTAATATAATATATAATTAAATTAATACAGCTAAAAAAATGTTATAGCAAATAAAAAGTGCAAGTTAAATTAGTAAAGAAGACATACTACTTAATTAAAGTCCTACAAGGGCTCCAAAGAGGAGCCACAGTAGGCTCTTTTCTTTTTCACATGGCCCTGTACTTTGAAAGCAGAAACAAACCCAGCACCAAGGAAAATCAGTAAATATAAGGTGTGAAGCCCAACCACTGAAATCCTATCCAAAAGTTCTGTTCAACTGTGGTGTAAAATAAATGTTACTAAGTGAGGAAAAACAAAAACCACATGGTGGAGTTTTGTAAATAAATTAAAAATAAATAAATTAAAAAAATAAGAGTAAAATATCCTAAACTGAAAACAGGTGCAAATAATTTAGAGTTAAGACCTATTAAGGAAATGTTGTACAAAGATGTTTTGTTTATGTGTCAGTGTTACTGAATTTTACCATTCTGCATTTACCTAAAGGATTGTGCCCCCCCTAAAATTTGGTGGAATATGGTTAAAAACTGTTGAAAGGACTTTCTGGACAAAAATGGAGCTTTTAGAATGCAGAAGACTGCCCAGATGGAGGCCAATGACACCAAAGGAAACTTAATAGGATTGGGACAGTAACTGGACTGTTTGAAATTAGTATGTCAATCTAAAAACCAGCTGACAGAGAGATGTATGGGAACATGACCAAGCATTTCAATAGAAGATACTGTACCAGCAAAAGTACTGCATCCACTGAATGAGCAAAACCAAGGATTCATTAATGAAGCTTTGTTAACTGCATATAATATATATAATGTTATACAGTAATTCCTGGCTTAACGTAGTTACGTTCCTGAAAAATGCAACTTTAAGCGAAACAATGTTAAGCGAATCCAATTTCCCCATAAGAATTAACGTAAATAAGGGGGGGGGGGGGACAGACACACACCCTGTGTGTGGGGGAGAGAGAGAGAGATGCCTCTTTAAATAAGCTGACCCACTCTTAAGTGCATTGTCTTTTTAAGTGGATCAGGAAGTTGAGACAGCAGCTGCTGCCCCAAGCTCTCTCTGTGTCCCCTCCCTGCTCTATGTGGAGAAAGGGTAAGCAGGGTGCAGGAGTGGGGGGAGGGGAGACA